AGGCTGAGGTGAGAGGCTTTACAGGTTCAGACAGGAGCTGAACAGATGGGGTTTCTGAATGACAGGTATTGAATGATGGCTGACTGTGTCGCGTTTCATTCAGCCTCAATAGCAGAGAACAAAGGCCAAAGCCTTTTCTGCATGTGTTCATAAAAGACTGTACAGGCATAATGTAGGTTACAAACCACTGTTATTTATGAGGTCAGTGACACTGAATCTGTATCATTTAGCCAGTTTGTCTCGTATTCGTTGCACTCAAGAGTTTTACATTCTTTAAAATGTTGACAAAGGATAACAAATAAGCTAATTTAAAGGTGTGGTGTTTTTCTTTTTAATAAAATGCCATACAATGTGCAGTGCAACCCTTCTCCATCAGACATTGTCAACAAGCAATGGTCCTTGTTTTTTGTATTACTTTTTTAAGGGAAAGGGCGCACCCTAGTGGTCTCTGATCACAGTGGGAACAATTTGGCCATATTATGTCCTCTCGTCCTTTTAATGTTAGAATAGTGTTTATTCCTGACCCACAATATGCTAGCCCTGGTGGCAGGACATCTTTATAGGTGTTTCCCACATGACAAGACGTACTACCCATGTTTTTATCTCACTGAATAGTGTTTTTTTTTTTTTCTGTCAGATGAGCTAACCGACATTTCAAAAATGACATTTTAAGTTAGTTCCCTCAAAAATGAACATTCTGTCATTACCACCATGTCGTTACAAACACACAATACTTTTGTTTTTTTCATCCTCAGAACACAATTTAATATATTTATAATGAAAACGGAGAGCTTTCTGTCAATACTGACAGCTATTATTCAACTAAAGCGTTGACGCTTCAAAAATGTAATATTAAATCCATATTAACTGAGCGGTTTAGTCAAAATTTTCTGACAGATCGAACACATTGAATTTAGGCTTTTATTCACATTTGAACATTCTGTTTATTGAACATAAATGGCAGAAGTGTTCGTTGTTAGTCCATGATAGTTAATGCAACAACAAACTAAACCTTATTGTAAAGTGTTGACCTATTTATTAAAATTCGGTTGGGACCAGACTGTAAAAAAAGGTCGTGCCTGAAAGGCGAAGGAGTCATCCGCCATAACTATAGGGGGTGGTCGAGCGCTTGTTTCTTCACTGCTTTGTTTTTTTGCTCATGCGCTCCAACATAGTTCAATAGGGTCTGGCTGCAGAATACGGGGCGAGTGGAGCTCCACTCAAAGGCGGAAGTACGTCACCTCCACTGCGCCGGAGCGTATATATATACGTCATCTCCACTGCGACCGAGCGCATATATACGTCTCCTCTACTGCGACCGTAACTGAATCTAAGCCCAACTTTAATCTTTTTGTGTTGATTTAAAATTATTTTATGACTCTTCTTTTCTAAGAAAGCTGCTAAAACTACTTTGTTGCTTAAAGAAATTATGGTTTCTTTGTAAATCACCTCCTGAATTTATGTGCTTGTTTCGTGATCTTTTTTTTGTTTTTATTTTATCTATTTTTGTACTTGATATATCCCCTGGGATTTGTGTTCAATAAAATAAAAATAAAAAATCTACTGCGACCGAGCGCATATGTTTATGTATATATATACATGTGTGTGTGTGTATATATATATATATATATATATATATATATTAACCGAGCGCATATATACGTGACCTCGCCCTAATCTTCACACACAATATCAGAGGAGTATACTAAACTTTTACGGTTTATGACTTTTAAATATAATATTATAGTAAAAATAATTTCAGAATTTTCTATTTAAAGCTAAATAACATGTATAAAACAACCAATGTAAAATAATGAAGAATAATTTCCACAATTCAGTTTTAATTGTTTTTATGTAAAAAAAAAAAATCAAATAATCCTAAATTTTTACAACACAATAACTGCAAGGGACCATACTGTAAAAAAAAAAAAAAAATACAAATATGAAAAAAGTAATTATTTAGAATTTTGTATTCAAAGCAAAATAACGTGCAAATCAACCACAGTAAAATAATGAAGAATAATTTCCAGTTAATTGAATTGATTAAATATATATATATATATTGACAACACACCTGAATTATGAGAGTGTGTGGTGTGCATGCGTGTGGGGTGTGGTGTGTGTGCGTGTGGGGTGTGTTGCGGTGTGTGTTGTGGTGTCCGTGAGCGGGGAGTGCATGTGGGGTGTGTGATGTGAGTGTGTGGAGCATGTGGGGTGCATGGTGGGGTGTGAGGTGTTGGGTGTGCTTGTGTGTGTGAGGGGTGCGTGCGGGGTGTGTGGTGTGCGTGCGGGGTGTGTTGCAGTGTCCGTGTGTGGTGTGGGTGTGCATGCGGGGTGTGTGATGTGAGTGTGTGGAGCATGTGGGGTGTGCATGGAGGGGTGTGTGTGGTGTTGGGTGTGTGGTGTGCGAGTTTGTGTGTTTCTGTGTATGTCTGTATAGTAAGTTAGGTAAAATATCTTAATTTGTGTTCTGAAGATGAACTTACAGGTGTGGAACAAAAAGAGAGTAATTAAGGACCGAATTTTAATTTTGTGGTAAACTAACCCTTTAAGACTGTTAAGTAACAGTCAAAAGTATGATTCATAGAAATTGCCTTCCTTTCATGTTGACAAATGATACAATGTTTTCTCTGCAACCACCACACCTTAGACCTCGTTGACATGAGATGTGTTGCCATGAGGGCTTCCAGTACTTCTTGGTGATGACACAACTGAGTTCTACAAAGCATGCTTTGTAAGTATTATTAATGCATTTTTACTGTCATAGGTTTATTATAATATTTTCAGCTGGAAATATGTAAACCTTACTGTGCATTTATGTTAGTAAGAACAATAAAAAAAGCACCAAAAACAATTATATTGTTAACAGTTATATTTGACTGTGAATGAAATGTGTCATTTCACACAAGTGTATATATTTGACTTATATATTCATGTGAATGAAATGAATGTCAGTGAGGAGGAAGTTTTAATTTTAAATCATTCAGGAGAAATGTAATGTCATGACACCTTTGAAACACTAAAATACAATTAAGGTTAATCTCATAATGTTTTAGTTTAATCAGTAATTCATGTCATATGCAAAGACTTGTATACAAAAGAAAAACAAACTTAATGTTTAAATTTAACTGAATTCCTGGATACACCTGTGTACATAATTCTCAAAAAAAAAAATATGGTTGCGTTCAACTAAACAAAAATATGTCTAATAAAATTTATATCTAGAAAAAAAACTGTACACTGCTAAAATGTATTTAGTAATCTCCAATCTCTTGTCCAGGCTTTTGATGATGGAGACTCGTACCAACATGTGCCAAAATGAAGATGTGGTTCTGCAACCCCTGTCCATCCATCTCTCCCCTCCAAGATGATTCCTCATCATTTGATGAGGATGGGTGATGTAATGGACAATTTAGACAACATACCTCAGGCCATGTTTTGAATGTGAAATCAAATAAATTGTAAGTTCCAAAAAATTATTGTTATCCTTTGTCCTTATTTGTAATGCAGGTGTATCTTTATTAAATAATTTACAGTAAATAGCTATATTTAAATTAAAGTTTTTGGTTTTGTCTACTCACAACATTCATCCCTATTGTAGGTTTCACATATATTGTCTGTGCATAACTGTAAGCCTTTTTAAGTTTAAAGTACCTAAAGTTTTAATTGCACTGCATTAAAAACTTTTAGTTCAATGAACTAAAAATTTTCAATTAAATGCATTTGAAATGTTAAGTACATTAAACTTAAAATATGTTGTTTTTTCAACAATAGAAAATTAACTTTTTTAGGGCAACGAGTTTCCATAAATTTAAGTTCAATCAACCTGTAAGGGCTTACAGTAACAATTCCAATTAGAGAGCTCTCTAATTCAATTCTTACTAGCAACAATTATAATTAGAGAGCTCTCTAATTCAGTTTTTACTAATTACAGAGCTCTTTAATTCAGTTACAGAGCTCTGCAATTATGCATATCTTTAATTCGTTTTTTTACTAGTAAAAACTGAATTAGAGAGCTCTCTAATTATAATTGTTACTAGTAACAATTCAATTGTAGAGCTCTCTAATTGAATTGTTACTAGTAAAAATGCAATTCCGACGAGTAAGGCTGGGTACAATTTAAGCTAAAACGGCTTGCCATACAAAATGGAGATTTGCGTTCGTGCATCTCTTAACTAAAAAAATGTCAAACATTTAAATTAACAAGCAATCAATACAATACTCACATCTGCACACTGTACAAACATTATATTTATAAAAATCGTTAGAATTAATACCTGAAAAGAAGGGGAGAAAATCGCTGATGTCTCCCATAGCGAATGTATGGAATGTTAAAACCCCGCGAATTTACTCCGCCCCGCCCCCGCGAAGTGGAGGTGACGTATTTCCTGTTTGAGAGTGGAGCTCCAGTCGCCCACAGTCTGCAGCCAGACCCTCCTCACATAGTTGGCGCCAGATGATCCGCGGCGCCATCCCGCAACTTACGTACGTACGGACGGAGGGAGGGAGAGAGAAAGAGTGACAGAGTGCAAACCGCAACCAGGCAGTACAGACGCAACAAAACGAAGATCTTCAGGCCGTTGACTACGCCGCGACTACTGGGAGCGCATCTCGCAAAAAAGGCCTTAACCGGGCAAAGAGGTCGGGCATGTTTTAAAGAAAATACGTTTATACATGACCGTTTAATGTTTGTGCGTCAAGGTTTTGCATACCATTGCAAGTTAACTTAGCTGGCTAACTAGCGTGCTATATTTGATACAATGTTGTGATTTAATTAACGTTAACGTTGTAGCATATGCTGCTTGAGCAATTTTTGAGCACACTGCGATAAGTGGCGCTCGGTTAGCTTTACCGATGAATTGTGGACGTCACGAAGTTCGGAGGTTTTCTGCCTGTAGCAATGGCGGCGGAGGCAGCTAGTGTTCCGCTAGCGAGGCAGCTTAGCAGGACGACAGGCCATGTTTGTTTCCCACAGCTAAAAATGGGCTAGGTTTATAGCATGATAAGCACCGCTTATAGCAACGCAGTGCTCGTGTCAATTAATTCGGATGATTTCAAGAACATCAGATAGCCGCAAAAGACGTGAACATATACTTAATTTGTTTTTAATTCGACGCCACAAAACAAAAACGCGTTATGTAAGAAGGGGGGCGCCTTCCCGGGCTTTCGCGAATAGCGTACATCTGAGATTAGCCCTTAACTCGAGCAGTTTTCCTTATGTCATTAAAATCTTGCGTTTTTAGAGCTATGACAGCAGAGCTTCGCAACGAGCAATCAAACTAACCTATTTTTATGACCTGGTTTATTTGCGTTTCATCACGTTGCATATTGTATCTGCGTGAGGGGCGGAAGCTAGTCGCGGCGGCCATTTTACAGCTAGTTAGCTGTTCCAACCTCCGGCGGACAAGATGCCCACCGTTAAACTCGTTGTATTTTCTTGTAGCTGTAGTCTCTACGTGGCTGTACGGCACTAAAAACTGTATGTATGACTTAAAAAATACAAGTTATTCCTATAATTTAAGGCAGTCTGTCAGCTTTTCGGTCCTATTTCATTTTATGATACCGCTATTGTGCTAGTTAGCTGATAATGTATGCTCAAGGAAGCTACCTAGCAGCTATTTAGCCAGCTAACCCAGCCAACAGTTACAAACCAGCATTATGTGAAAATTGTGAACTTGGGGTTTAGTTTGTTTTGTATGTGAGTCATGTTTAAAGGAGTTAGCTTTAATTCAGTGCAGCTCATTTGAGAAAATTAAATGTCTTGAACTGTTGATTCATGAATACTTAGCCTGTCAAGTTAGCCTAATATAAACTACCCATAGGCTAACTTTAGCCAATTTCTAGCTACTGATATTTCTGCTAACTAGCTTTATGGTTGTTTCTAGATTAGGCTAATGTTTACATTTTTTTAAAGAGGTGTTTTTTTTTTGTTTTTTTTTTACAAACTGATAACGTTAGCTCAGTTAAAAGTTCTATTCATCTATGCAACACTATATATTAGAATGATGTTGAGTTTTGGATTCATGTCTTTTAATCTGTTGTCTCTTGATATCTCTTTTTCAAGTTTACGGCTAGACATTTAATCTTGGTTATTCCCCATGTAGCTGAAGCTGTTTGTATCTTTGTTACATTAGCATACATTTGTTTCTTGATTAGGCTAATTACTTTCAAGAATATTACTTTAGTCTCTGTATGTTTTCCATAACTTATTTTTTCTTTGAATGTTTCTCAAGTAGTAAGATAAAGCTGAAATTTAGTCTAAATGTTTTCATCAGAAATGTTTTTCTATCATTCATTATGCAGATCATTATCAGATTTTAAAAGATTTTTCTTCTTCCAGCAGGCAGGACTGCTCCTGACTCAAGAACAGAGTGAGCCTGCGGCAGGCAACCCTTCAAGTTTCTTTGCAAGAAAGCGGTGCTCGTAGAGCAACGCTAAGTTTTACTTAACCGGGAAGACGGAAGTCGTCAGGCTGGAGTGCGTCCTGATGGCCGAGTCAGAGACTGACTGTGACACACCAGGTCTCGATACGTTGGGATCTGAGTGTGTCATAGCCCATACTCAAGTTGGTGACTTGCATTATGGTGCAGAGACTGAGATTATGACTCAAGAGGACAAAAGACTTGACCTGGAGGCCATTCATGGTGATTTGGGGGCAGTGACCTGCGTGGATGTGGTAACAGAGACGGACCATGACTATATTAAATCTGAAATACACCACGATCATCATCAGTATTTCAGCAGTGCAGAAATAAAAGGCAATGAGCATTTGCTCGGTGAGGTGCTGTTAAAGACAGAGATGGGTGGTGGAGAACATATTGTAAAGGTGGAGTCGGACCATGGAGGGGAGCTTACGGTGGAGTCCGAGAATGGTATTATCATCCACGAGGCCCATGGCCTGCAATGCAGTGAGTGTGGTGAGATTTTTGACTGCATGTCTGATCTGCACGAACACTTTGAAATCCACAAAGCCACTCACCCCTACATTTGCGTCCACTGTGGTGAGAGCTTTGCTATTGAAGCCAGCCTAAGAAGTCACATGAGGATTCACATGAAAGAGAAAAGTTACACCACTGGTCTTGAGATGGTTGGTAAAGGAGTCATTGATGCATTCAACTTGAAACCGCACCAGATGATGCACTCTCCCGAAAAGCCGCACAGATGTTCGGAGTGTGGTAAAAGCTTCGCTGCCGCCATCACTCTCCGGGAGCACATGAAAATGCATTCAGATGACAAACCCTACAAATGCACCCAATGCCGAAAAAGCTTTGTGCGCAGACGTCATCTCAAAAAACACCAAGAGCTGCATGCCCACGACAAGCCATTTACATGTCTTCAGTGCGGGAAAGGCTTTACCACGGCTTCCAACCTTAAACAGCACCAGAAGACTCATGCTGGTGAAAAGCCGCACAGATGCACCCAGTGTGGAAAGTGTTTTGCCGCCGCGGCCACGTTGAGGGAGCATCAGAGAATCCACTCAGGAGAGAAGCCCTACAAGTGCACCCAGTGTCGAAAGAGCTTCGTCAGGAAACGCCACCTCAAGAAGCATCAGCTGGTCCATCAGGGTGGAAAGCCCTACCGGTGTTCTCAATGCGACAAGGGTTTCAACCATTCCTCGTCATTGTCACGGCACCACAAGGTCCACTTGGAGGCCAAAATGTATGCCCAGGGCGATAAGGATTTCCCCTTTGATACGTCGATGAAGAGGGGAATGCATGTCGGTGAAAAGCCATACAGCTGCAACCATTGTGAGAAGAGCTTCAATCACTCATCATCACTGTCCAGGCATCAGAGAACTCATTCTGATGGAAAGTCCTACACCTGTGCGCAATGTGGGAAGAGGTTCAATCACCCCTCATCTCTCGCGAGGCACCAGCGGGTTCATTTGGAGGATAAGTCGACTTACAGTGCTATTGCTACAGGAAAGGGATTCCCCCACACTACCATCTTGAAACAGAGAATTCTTCAGAGTGAGAAACCATATAGGTGCGCTCAGTGTGGAAAGGGTTTCAATCATTCATCCTCTCTGTCTAGGCATCACAGAATTCACATTGACCAATAAGCTTGTTTCCCTTCCCACCATAAGTGGTGTCACTCATCCAATGATTCAGGCCAGCTTGTAATGTTAAAGGGTTTGGCTAAAGATGCAAGAAAATCCAGGAAGTCGGTGTGGGCCTGCTCTAAGGGAACTTGTACTAAAATCAAGTCCTATGACTTTTTAATGAGGAGTAAATTAGAATTTGGTATGATTGACACTGAAATCCCCTGTGTAATGTGCACATGACTAGATTCATATGTAATTCTGGAACTTGGTGTTTGATTAAAACCATAGACAAAACATATTGAGATTCCATCATCACTGACTTGTGCTTTAAGCTGGTTTTGGAAGCGTATCGAAGCCTGGCACAATCTTGAAATTGAGTATTAGGTCAAGTCGGTTGAGTGGCAGACAATTCAGCAAATAGTCTAGATGCAACGATTCACTCCCCTAGTCTGTATCTTTTAACCATCTCTGCATCATTAATGGGTTGAGAAACTGATATCATGTGTAAATATATGTTGATTTTCTTTTATATAGATATGTATAGGTAAGTAGTGCTGTAATTTTCTGAAAATGGAGCATTTTTTTGATGTATGATCCAGTTAGTCTTATCCATCTCTTGTCAGTGAAGTGGGATGGTGCTTTCAGGGGATGTCGCTAGTTTTGAACAAGCTGTCCTGTTAAATATAAAGGCTGTATTAATTTAATAATCAAACCCTTTACGATGCAAACCAACGGAGTCTGTAACCTAAAACAGCATAACTCCATGAAGTTCGCTCATGCACAAAGGTGAGGGGCGAGAAATCTAATCTTATACATCAAGAAAGAATGGATCTTGTTCATCAAGATCTCGATCTTGTGCAAGTAAACCCAATAAAATCAGGTAATATATACATTTATCTGTTGGGAATTTTGGTTAACTCTTCATGGGGCCAGTTTTCAATGGACAACTAAATTATATAGCTGATTTTGTAATACAAGTCAAACTTGGTACAGCCTAAGTGTTCCCCTAAATATCTCTAGTGCTTCTCCCTGCTACCAGTGGCTGACTGCGCATTTAAGATTTTCACAGCCATTGTTAAACTCGGACAGCAGTGTATAGAGTATCAACCTTAATGAATAATAATAATAATAATAATAATAGATTGTGTATACTTTATGCAAATACAAAATATAGCTTGCTTTTTTTTTTTTTTAGTTTGATCCATTTTTCTCACGTTAATCCATTGGTTTGTGCTTTCTATTTACAGTTCTGTGTATGGAGAAAATCTTTTACAAATGGATGTATTTTTTTAATAAGGTTTGGGTAATTGTAAGGGAAATGAAAGGAATACTGTTTTTATGGGAGTGAACATTGTATCAGAACTATTCTCATTCTTTTCCATTGGATAATAAATCTGCTTCATCGCGTAGCATAGGTTTATTCATTGTGTTAGTTAGGTGCCTTATTGCATGCCGTGTAGAAATGTATGAGCTATAATAGAAAAAAAAATAAGGTTTTGGCTCCCGCTCCCTTTTTGTTTCTTTACATACTAATCAATGTTTTAATTTGATTTATTTTTATTTTATTTTATTTTATTTTGCTTCTCTGTACATGAGTGTTTACGCTGTTACTTATGTCTTTTAATTTACTGTCAACAAGCCTCTTATAGATTAGAGGTTAAAGAAAGTTACAATGCCATTGATCCATATGTTGATTGCCCTCTATAATGGTCTATTCTTGTCCCATGTGTCTATTCCCCCATCTTTGAGTGGCTCACATATATGGATAAATAAAGATTGTTGACTATCAACAAGTTCATACAGTTTTTTTTTTATAGAACCTTCTTGCATCCATCAAGGTCTACTGTATGTAGTGTCTTGAAGGAGTAGTTCACTTTTAAAAAAAACTTTTGCTGATCATTTACTCACCCCTACGTCATCCAAGATATCCACGTCTCTCTTTCTTCAGCCGAAAAGAAATTAAGGTTTTTGACAAACATTCCAGGATTTTCTCCATATAATGGACTTCATTGGGAACCAAACGGTTAGAGGTCCAAGTGAGAGTTTCAGTGCAGCTTTAAACGACACCAGACGATGAATAAGGGTCTTATCTAGGACCCTTTTTCGAATGTCTCGAAAAAAGATTTGTTCATTTTGATGAACGAGTTTGAACAGGAGAGTCACGAAACGCTCATCACAGAACATAGTAAGGTGAGCATTTGTGCTTGTAAAACTTCAGATCGTTTTGCAAGATAAGACCCTTATTCATCGTCTGGTGTCGTTTGAAGCCCTTTGAAGCTGCACTGAAACTCATTTCGACCTTGAACAGTTTGGTTCCCATTGAAGTCCATTATATGGAGAAAATCCTGGAGTGTTTTCATCAAAAACCTTATTTCCTTTCGACTGAAGAAAGAAAGACGTGGACATCTTGGATGACTTGGGGGTGAGTAAATTATCAGCAAAAGTTTTTTTCAAAAGTGAACTACTTCTTTAACCACTTAACTGTCACCGTCCCACAGGTGGGACGTTTGCCACTATATTTTTAAAACAATAATATCTTAGTAAATACCTTAAATAATATTGACAAACTATATATCATTTGAAAGTTTACAATCTCTAGTTTCCATATTTGGTGACTGATTTTCAAAATATATTACAGAGGAGCCATAATTTATCAATATAAAACAAGAATATTTTCATACTCATAAGGCGTGTTCAGACCTTTATTTAAAAATAGCAGTAAACATGAAAAATCATGAAAAAATGGTAGATACCTCAGTTTGTTTTCATGCCAAAAGTTCAAAAGATAGAATCCATTCAATTATTTTGGAAAAAAAGGTCTGAAAAGTTTGAAATATCAAGAAAAAAATAATAAATTCACCATTTGTGACGTGGCAGCTAGCTATGACTTACATGCGTGTTCTTTGTATGTGTTTCTTAGAGGTTCAATTCATATCAAAATCTGCCAAACTTCCCATGCTACTTCTGAATAGGATCTGTACTTCAGAAATTGTATGAAAATTGTGAAAATAATGGTTCATATCACTCAAAACACGAATGGAAATGCAGGCGCCCTTATATGGGCAGTAATGGAGTCTGATTGTGCCCTAGTGAAAAAGTTTGGTACTGCGCTCAAACAAAATCTTATTGAAAGCTCATTTTTTGAGATATCAACCTAAAATTTGAAACACAACTTGTTCAGATTTTTGGCTTTGATCTTTCTGCCATTTTAGAGTAGCCCAGGTTTTGAAAATATATATTTTATGTAAAATATGAATAATTAATATTTTTACATTGTACATTTCCATAAACTCAAACTTCTATAACTTTTTTTCTGTTTCACTTTCTTAATTTATTTCACTTCTACAAAAATCTGCCAAATGTCTTCTTTAAAACAAGACCAATCATATGTCTATATTCCAAAGCATTCTTGAATTACAACCATTTAAGTTCGAAATGTGCATTTTCATGTCTATTCAAAAAAGGGGGGGTGACAGTTAACAGGTTAAGTGTATTTAACATTTTTAAAGGGAGATTTGTCATGTCATCTTGGGTGATACAATATTGATGATTTAATATTTAGAGGGGATACAATAAATTCAATATAAATAGCTAAAACCTCGACATCTTCATTAAGGAATTGTACCTTCAATTACTTATTATTGTTATTTATTTTTTGAAGAAGATAAGATCTGTTTAAGAGACTGGTGAGGTTATTGCTGAAAATGTATAAAGCGAGTATGTTGTGCATCCACGTCATCCCTATAAGTGTTTATATTCTTCTTATTTTAGACCAGGTGGGATGAGAACAACCTCTGCGGAGTAGCCTAGTACCTGCGTGACTCGTCATACATGAACAGGTTTTCTATCCCACGACTCGTGCAGTTTTGTTAATTAACTGCTAGAATGGCAAAAGTTATGTAGTGTACCTTTTTAAAGTTTTACTAATCCACACTGTTCCTCTACAGCTATTGTGAATCTGAATTTCTGATTAGGGCTATTCGTTTTTCAACTGAGCAGTCACAGGTTTTCTATGTCGGTGATGGTTTGTAATTGTTACTGGATATATCAAACAATATACAGCTTGTCAGTGTTAATAATTGATGGTTTATATATGTATCTCAGAGGTAATTTTCTTTACCAAACTTTTTTTTTAAAAACATTTTATTTTTGTTAATTAATTTGGGATATTCCGGAAATTACTTTTTACCAGAATAAGCACATGCCTGCTTCTCTTGATGTTGTATTTTTGCCCCAAATTCCCCAATGTTAAACTTTTGCCACGAGCGAGAACACGCACTGTCAGGCGTTCTTCTCGCTATTTTGAGTGCTATTTCGAGGACAGATAAAATAATCCTTGTTCATTTTGCATGAATATTGGAGGCAATTAATTATGTTACAATTCATCTATTCATAAAGGTACTTCTTCATTCAAGATTGTTAAGCATGAGCTTACTTCTCTGACATCCTCTTCACCCATTGTTCCACATTGTTGAAAACCATGGCATTCGTTCCTCATATTATTTAATGATCTCAAACCAGACTGGCTCAAATTTTTATGAGCGGTTGAGATCACTCAAGATGAGTTTCTTTACTGTAAGTGCTTTCATGATATTTGTTTTCATAGCTGCTGGAGAATCATGCACTAAAGTAAGTTTTTTAAATCTAAATTTAAATCTGTGTTCTGCATTATTGTTGTGAAATATTAACATTTACTTCACCATTTACTTGAAAATGAACCTTAGATTACGGAGAATCTGCACTACTCATGCATGGGAAGAAACCTCAGCTACATACCACCAACTATTTCTCCATCAGTTCAAATTCTGGATTTTAGTTTTAACGTTTTGAAACACTTACAGAGGACTGTATTCCCGGTTCTGTCTTTTCTACGAGTCCTTGATCTGTCAAGGTAAGCAATGTTATTACCATCTAAATGTCTTGTTGTACAATGTCTTGTAATATGTATAATATTGAATTGAATTTACTTTCAGATGCCACATCGAGCACATTGAAAATGATACTTTCTACAATGTGAAGAATTTGACTAAATTGATTCTCACTGGAAACCCTATTGCATATTTTGGACCTGGATGCTTGAATTCTTTACATAATCTACAGAAGCTAGTTCTTGTGGATGTTGGTCTCGCGTCCTTACAGCTTCAAATGAATAACCTTACTAAGCTACGGGAACTTAGAGTTGGAACAAATGACATCCAGTCCGTGTCTCTCCCTCCATTCATGAGCTCCTTTAAAGATTTCAGTTTACTTGATCTACATGCCAATAACATATCCATCATTAAAACTGATCACACTATTGTGTTGAGAAAGATTGGCGGAAACATGACTTTGATTCTCTCAAGGAATCCATTATTACACATTGAACCAGGAGCTTTCAAAGGTGTTTATCTCAGAGAGCTGGATATTCGATCTGTATTTGTTTCATTCGCTAATCAGAAAGTTGGTCTAAAAGCTCTATATGGTCTTAATGTAAAAAAATTGTTATTTGGAAAGTACAGGGGAGATTTCAAATTTCAGTTCTCAGATGTTGATATTTTAGATGGCCTTTGCTCTATCTTTTTCCAGGAAATTTATTATTATATTAATGAAAGGCCCAGTGAACCATATTCTGTCTTTCGCTGTATGATCAATGCTACAAATGTGGTCGTGAAGAATGGTATAATTGGTGAAATGGAGTATGTATTTTTTCATGAAATCAAGGAGCTTTACTTGATTTCCAATATCTTAAATTCTTTGCTTGGGAAACTTTCACATCTCCATACATTAGAAAAACTAGTAGTTACACACAACAATAATCTTATTCTTGCTGCAACCTTTATAGACATGCCTAAACTTCAATATATGGATCTAAGTGCGAACCGAATTACATTTAATCAGTGCTGCACAATGCTTTTATCTGGCACCCCTCAAATCAGATATTTGAATTTGAGTCTAAATGTGGAAATTGATCTTGATCTAAGAGCATTTGATAGACTTGATTCCCTTGAAATTCTAGATTTTCATCATACAAGGGTTGTAGGTATGGGGTACCTTTCACTTTCTAACTTGAAGAATTTGAGGTATCTTGATGTTTCTTATTCCAGTATCACTTTTGGTAAAATAAATTGCTTTCATGGGCTAAGCAGTCTTAAGGTTCTCAAGATGGCAGGAAGTCATTTTCAGGGTGATGTAACAAGATTTTTATTTAATAATCTTACAGTTCTAGAGCACCTTGACATGTCTTACTGTCGCATTGTAGAGTTACACCCAAGCTCTTTTAAAAATCTCCAAAGACTTAGACTTTTGAATGTGAGAGGAAACAATTTAATGACTATAGATTTTCTTGTCCACCCAAGCCTGAAACAAGTAACATCATTTTACGTCGATAAAAACAGCATTACTAGCATCCCACTTCATGTTCTCCAAAAGTTGCCTGCAAACCTTTCAGAGTTGGATTTGTCCTCCAACCCCATCGATTGTTCCTGCTCCCAGACAGATTTTATATTATGGATCATCCAAAATCAGAACATTTTGAAGCAATCAGAAAATATTTTCTGTAAAACCTTGTCACCAAGCTCAGATTTTAGAGCAGTGGACTTTGACATTGACAGCTGTGTGCAAAAGAAAAGACTCACAATTGTTGTATCAGTATTTATTGTTTCATTAGTAGTTGTGTTGTCAGGCTTGGCTTATAAGTTCCAGTTTTATCTTCAGTATTGCTGTATTCTACTGAGAGGCTACAGATCACCTGGACAACAAGAATGTTCCTATGATGCATTTGTGATTTTCTCCAGCTATGATGAAGTCTGGGTCATGAAT